ACTCAAACCCTACCTCCTGATATTAATGACACTTACAGTTGCCTAATTCCTAAGGTGCCCAATGCTAACTTAAAGAATTTTAGACCCATAGGCCTATGTAATACTATTTACAAAATTATCACCAAAATCATTGCAAATAGGCTTCAACCTTTTTTGCACCATATTATCAGCCCCTTCCAATCTAGTTTTGTTAAAGGGAGAAGAGCTTATGACAACGCCATCATAATCCAAGAAATAATCTCCTAATTCAAGAGAATGAAGGGGAAAAAGGCTCACATGATCTTGAAACTTGACCTTGAAAAAGCATTCGACAGATTGGTATGGTCATTTATTTACCAAACTCTTTCTTATTTTAAATTCCCTTACAAAATAAAGCTGACTCATTATGAATTGTATTTGTACAAGCAAAATTGCAATTTTGGTGAATGGGGCAATAACCACTTTCTTCAACCTAAGTAGAGGTATTAGACAAGGATGCCTACTATCACCTTATATCTTTATTATGAGCATGGAAATACTTTCTCGTTTAATCCTACACCAGGTAGATACTTGTTTATAGGAACCTATTCGCTTAAACAGTCGAGATTCAGGTATTTCCCACTTATTCTTTGCAGACGACCTTACTCTAATGGCCAAGGCTGACAAAAAAAACTATACCATCATTAAAAGTTGCCTCAATATTTTTTGTAATCTGTCAGGCCAAAAAATAAATGTTGACAAATCCAAAATAATCTTCTCCAAAAACTGCCCTATGATATTAGCCAAGGAAATATTTACAGGATTCAATATCAAAATAAGCAAAGTTTTTGAAAAATACCTAGGCTTTTCAATCCTTAATAATTATCCAAAAGCGTCTGATTGCTAATTCATCATTGACAAAATGCGGGATAGACTCTCCACTTGAAAAACTAATTTTCTCAATATAGCAGGAAGAACCACCCTGCCCTTAGCAACTTTGAATTCCATTCCCAATCATGCCATGCAATACACAATGCATCCTACCAAAATTCACAAGCAAATTGATCAAATACAAAAACACTTTATCTGGGGCACCACTGCTGATCGTAAAAAACTTCATCTAATAAATTGGAACACCATTACTAAACCTAAAGACATGGGAAGTCTTGGCTTAAACATTGCTAATTCAAATAATAGGGTTTTACTGTGCGGATTAACTTGGAGACTCCTAGCTAATCCATCCACCCCCTGGGCAAACGTCCTCATTCACAAATATGGAAGTAACAAATCCAATAATACATCGTTTATATGGAAAAGCATCCTCAAAAGTTGGCTAACTTGTAAACAAGGGATCCTTTGGCTTCCAGGCAAAAACTCCAACCTAAATATTTGGGACACTTGTTGGATCCCTCTCTTACCCCTTTTAAGAAACTGTAAAGAAGGGCCCCTTCAAAAAAAAGATCAAAACCTGGCAATAAAAGACATTGTTGAAAATGGGGAATGGAAATTCAACAAAATTTCATTCAACATCCCTCCTGCTATTATGGACAACATAAACTCAATCCCGCAACCTCTTCACAGCCTAGACAAGCCCTGTGGAGTTTGAATAGCAATGGTATATTCAATTCCAAATCCTGCTACCATCTAATAAATAATTGGCATAATGAACATAATCAAAACTTCACTGGATATGAAAATTACACCGCCTAACAAGATCAAATATTTTCTTTGGCAATGCCTTCATAGTAGGCTTCCATGTTGTTCCTATCTTCATCACATAGGAATAAACATCGATCCGCATTGTGCCCTTTGCCGGAGTCAAGAGGAAATTACTAGTCACATCTTCCTTGAATGCCCAATTGTTTCAAACCTATAAAGATCTCTGGGCGTTACCAATGTAACAACCAACACAGACAACCTTTGGCTTCTTAGACTAAAGGATCTCAACAAAAATCAACAACCTATAACTATACCTTGGACTGACCTCCTTGCTTTTGTTCTATGTGGTATTTGGATTAATAGAAATAATAACAATATTAATAACACTCACTACCACCCTCGCCTTAACGATATAAAAAATCTGGCGATAGAAAACCACTTTCTCAACTCCACAGGAGTTGCACCCAACGACAAAATGATTATTAATATAAAATGGTACCCCCCCCCCCCAACAACACTGGTACAAACTAAACACAAATGGAGCCTTCCAAACACATGGAAATAAATCCGGCATGGGAGGTGTGTTCAGTAACTATCTGGGTAACTGGGTAATGGGGTACCAAAAGGCAGATTGAGCTATCTCACCTCTACACTCAGAACTTCAGGCAATCCACGTAGGCCTTCAAATAGCAACAAAATTCAATCTATTCCCACTAGAAGTGGAAACAGACTTTACAGAAGCAATCAAAGCAATCAACCACGACCATCTAACACTGTGCATGCATGCAGATTATTGATGCTCCAGCAGAAGCACCTACTCCTGCGGCATAATTTTCGTGAAGGAAACCAAGTGGCGCATCTATTGGCAAAAGATGCAAGCAAGAAGGAATACAAGCAGCAGTGCAATGACAATCCAAAGCTCCACGCAAGTCCACCTCATTTTGTGAACCTACAACTGTCAAAGGATGCAAACGGAGTCTATCATTACAATAAGTCATTAGACATTACGGCATGTAATAAGATTAAGTCATTAGGAAACCAGAATATCTCTAATGTTAGACCGCCAATGTGTAGTGGTGAATATTCAAGTGTCTGTATTAACAACAACAACTTCTAGTTATTATATAATATTTTCATATTATCAAAAAAAAAAGAAAGGTGTTGAGAGAACACCAAATGGTGAGACTTTAATGGAAAAATAGATAATAATTTGACAAAGAACAAAAGATAAAACTGAGTGTGTTGAAATGCTCCTAAAAGTAGGGGTGTTCATAAAAACCCGAAAAATCGAATCAATCCGAAAACCAAACCAAACCGACCAAAAAAACCGTTACTTTTTGGTTTGGTTTGGTTTTGGTTTTGAATTTTAAAAATCGATCAAATTTGGTTTGGTTATAGTTTTAATCAGAAAAAAAACCGAAAAAAACCCGAACCAAACCGACTATAGGAGTAGTTATTTCAAGTTCATTATTACACCTATATATATGTATATTTTTATACAAAGTTTCAAAAAATTTATAGTAAATGTTAATAGTTTGCACTTTTATACAAAGTTCTTTACCTTTACATTCTAATTTGATTGGTAGTTTTCTTTTGATAAGTGTAAGAATTCATTTAGTGTTAAAAAAAATATATTTTTAATTGAGTCCTTAAATTATTCATCACTATTTAATTCAATTATCATCAATATATCTTGGTAATTAATAGATTTCTCATAGGGCAATTGATTTGATAGTGTTACGTTGAATATGTGGTCGCCGGAATATGTGTTTGGTAGTGTATGTCTTATGTTTAAGAAAAAAACCGACAAATAACCAAAAAAATCGAAAAACCGACATAAACCGAATCGAGAAAAAAACGACTTAATTGGTTTGGTTTGGTTCTAATATTTGAAAAATCGACTTACTTAGTTTGGTTTCTTTTTAGAGAAAAACCGATCCAAACTGAACCATGAACACCCTACCCAAAAGTGTTCACACGTATAATATAGTATGATATGATGATATTAAAAAAATCCTCTTTATCCCCTCTCTCTATTTACCCCCTTCTAAATAAACTTTAATTTTTTAATCTCTATAAGAGATAAAAAGAAGAAGACCCTATAATTGATCATTGAAACATTGTGTCAAAGAGGAAAATAAAATTGGTGCCACATTGTTTGGTAGTGAGTGACAAATGATCTCAACATCACTCTCTTATTTCATTGTCTATTCCTCCATCATTGAACACATTACTGTGATTATTGGCAGAGAGAAGAAACAAATCTAATCCCAAGGGCCCAAGCAAATCTTCCTTACGCGTGTATGACTTATTACTTTAATTACTTATATATGTTCTTAACTTTTTGGTTATATATATATATATATATATATATATATATATATATATATATATATATATATATATATATATATATATATATATATATATATATATATATATATTCAGTTAATACTTATTCGCACCAAATATTCTATGATAACTATGTTGCTACAGATTCCAGTATCCACGTGAATTCTTTATCTTATAGTGATGTATCGTACTAATCATAGGCGGATTCAGAATTTAAAGTATATGGATTTCTATAACGACCTTAAGTAAATATACATTAAGTAACTGAGTTCACGATCAAATATGTTTAGATATTTAGTAAACTTTTTAATACATATACATGGTATGTGCAAAAGCTACTGAGTTCACGGAACCCACATATAATAAGTTGGATCCGCCCCTGATAGTAATCTATGATACATAATTACTAGCATAACAAGAAAATCGAACTTATGTCCTCTAAGTTGCAAGCAAGGCGAAGCTATGTGTGGTCTGTGGTCAAGGGTGGTCAACTAAACATCCTTCATCGAAAAGTTATACTGTATAGGAGTACTTGTTATTGATAAAAAAGAAATAGGCATTAAACACTCTTGCACGACCCACCCTTATTAATTTGAACACCTTATTAATTTTCCGGTAGCCTGCAAGCCATGATTCAAGAAAACAAACCAAACTTATAATTTAAGCCACATGACTACAAAGATAAATACTGTTGCAGATTACAATCAATCCTTTTTGCCCTGCAGTTTCGGGGAAAAAAACTTACGTGCACTCAATATTTACAAGACATGTGTCTTTTACACTTGCGATTGTATGTAATCTTAGAGCCTGTTTGGCCATGAAATTTTTTTTTATTTTTTTCGAAATTTTTTTACACTTTTTCAAAATAAGTATTTGGCCATAAAATTTTCAGTTTCACTTGAAGATAAATTTTGGAATTTTTCGAAAATTTAAAAAACTTCAAAAAACTGTTTTTCAAAATTTTCACTCAAATCACTCACAAAAATTAAAAAACAACCCAAATTTATATTCATGTCCAAACACAACTCTAATTTTCAAATATCATTTCACTTGATAAATTCTTTTTTTTTTTTTTCGGAATTTTACAATTCTTATGTCCAAGCGCCCACTAACTTAAATTTATAACCGTTAAAGTTAAATTTCTTGATTTGTTGTAAAAATGTAAATATCTATCCTGGGCACTCCCACAAGAATGGCTCCTCGAGCCTGAATCCAGTAGTGTCAGCTCCAACCAGCTGCTGCCACGTGGACATTGTGCACCAATAACGGTCATTTTGATCCACCACATCAATGGAAAGATCAGGTAAATCAAAAAATGTGTCATCATCCTCTCTTGACAAAGAATTTGGTAATTCTTCTTGGGTGTTTTCCAAGAATAAATTGGTTGACGAATGACAACTTCGTAATTCAACTCGGCTCGGCTTGGCTCGAATTTCTTCATTTTTGTCGGGAAATGTGATGGCCGCGGCTTTTGCAGCCGCGGTCTGGATGTCCTTAGGAGAAGCGGAAGCTGGACGCGGGAGTTGATGAGCCAAATGAGGATAGTTAAGGTAAGCCGAGTTACCTTTGATGGCTAAAGCCGCGACATCATGAGCTCGAGCCGCCATTTGAGCTGTTGGATAAGTACCTAACCATATTCTTGATTTTTTTCTTGGCTCTCGAATTTCGGACACCCATTTACCCCAACTCCTTTTACGTACTCCTCTATAAGTTGGGTGCTTATTATCATCCTCATTTTTCTTCTTCTCTTCACCGTTCTCATAAATTTGGATGAGTTCTTGATCTTTCCTTGAGCTTTTCTTCGAGTCGTAATCTTTTCGAGTAAGCTCATTGCTCGAGGAGAACGACGATGATGATGATGATGATGATGTCGTGGTTAAAGGAGAATTCAAGACATTACAAGCAGAGTTAGAGAAGAAATCGTGACGATGATAATTGGCTCGAGTTTCAAGGTTGATTCTTTGTTCTTGATCTTCCATGATTTTTTTTTATTTTTTTTTGGTGCTAAAATGGCTAGTTTATTGTCTTTCTTTGTAAAGAAAGTAGGAAGGAAAATGTAGTAAAGACAGAAATTGATGATGTTTGTTTGGCTTCTGTGGTCCTTAGATAAAGTGTTAGAGTTCATTTAAATAAAGGAAAAGGAAAGGGAAGGAAAGAAAATAAATATGAATGGGACCTTTGACGCAAGGGTGTCTATAGTTAAGCTATTTTGTTGCCCATGTGGCAATTAACATATATTTCTTTTTTCCTTTTTTAATTTTTGTTGGTCTTGTCTAATTTGAAATTTTTTTTTTTTTGGTGGTGGTGGGGGGGAGCAAGGAAAATGTGAAAATAAGTAGTGAAATCTTCACGTACATGCCTAAGCAGTATATATTGTCATCATTTACATAGAGCAAGCAGCCATAGACCAGAGAAAATTGTCATAATCAACAACCATGTATTTCACATGAAAATTGACATATAACCATAGTAGGGTTGTCGATGATTCAGTCCATTCTTTCTTAAATTATAGACAGGGATGAGAAGGAGGGGACTTGTGACGTTCGTGACCCAGGACGAGCTGACGAGGGCAAGCCAAAGAGAAGGATTGACGGGTTTCTAGGCTGATAATATAAGCTTCCAAAAAAGGGATGTACATGACAACTTAGACGAATTTCACATCAGAATGCATGGAAATAGAAAATGAACAATTATATAAGGCATAATATAAATTTACATGGTACACATACTTTTTTGGCTGGACGTGCGCCCAAAGGATTAATCCGTGAGGCCTGTTGGACTAAAACGGACAATACATATCATAGTTTTGAAATATGACATGATAGGGAAAGGAGATTACAAGGTGGAAAAGTAGTTCTCCGCAAATAAAGTGAAATCTTCAATAATCACTAACTTTTTACTGAATATTATAAAGTCTTTTACTTCTGTATTTTATGTTGGGGGTATGTATTTTCAGAGGCGGAGCCTGGATTTAAAGTTTATGGATTCGAGAATCTAATTTATTTAGGTTACTGGATTCTAAATAATAAAATTATACATAATCGATGAATTTCTTAAGACAAAAGCTATTGGGTTCGGCCGAACCCGTAGGCTGTGTTCGAGCTCCGCCCTTGTGGACTTCAAAAACTTGTGTAACTAATTTGTTTTTATTAGCAATGACAAGCTTGAAAATGGAGTGATATTTTACTGTTAATTAAACTACTGTCTTTTTATTTTATTAAATTAAATGGGTTTTGTTGATATGTCTTCTTCCAGCTGTCCTAATTCCTGAATTTCTGCAGTGGCTTCAACTTGCCGTAATTCAAGTACCCAAACTCTTCAAGAAAAATTAAATAAAAATTACCACACTATCTTAATATCACTTGAGTCTGTTTGGTATGACGAAAATCATATTTAATAAAAAATGTTTTCTTGCAGACATGTTTTTTTATAAAAAAAAGATTTTCTCGCGAAAACTATTAGTCAAAGAAGATAAATATGGAGTTTAAAAGTCCAAATAGTTTAAACAAATAATTTTTGTCCATTAGTGCGCAAGTAACTGCCTCCCATTTGATAAAAGTATTTTCCTTGATATTTTCTAGCAACCAAACATGAGAAAATCTGAAAATAATTTATGTCATACGAAATACTAATTAAATTTCTCTATAACAGCATCTCTATATAACAATATTTTACTGTAAAAGCCAAACTTTTCTCGGAACTAATTTTCAAGTTATGTTATAATATATTCTCTATAACAGAACTTCGCTATAACATCCAAAAATATTCGGAACAAACAAAACTATTATAAAGAGGCTTGACTGTATAATTCCGATAGCCTGTGCAAGCTAGAACAGCCATAACATTTACAAAATCACTTTTAAATTTTCTGTGTTCTTAAAATAGCTTTGAATATAAATTCAAGAAACATCACAAACAGTTGGATAAATTATAAAAAACAGTGAAATCTTAGTAAGTTGACCAATAAAAAATAATTATAAAAAAACAAAAGAGATGAAGTACTAGTTGAGCATTATTGAGGAGCAAATCTTTTTCACGTTGCTATCATTTATTTTATTCTTAAAATGAGAGCTTTTTGTAATAAATGGAAACGACAATAAACTGAACGCTAACAGACATGACCTTAGATTGACGGTGTATTTCTAGAAATGTAAAATCAATTAATTTTAGAATTTAGAATAAATATTTTTAAGTCTTAAAAAATTAAAACTAAAAATATTACTACACTTTAGTACACGTGCCTCACATGTTAATGGGTCCTATCCCTAGATTTGCTTCCCTAATTCATTCTTTACTTGAATAAGAAATTCTTAATTTCCTTATTTACTCCCTTTTTCCATCTTTTTTAAAAAAATATTTCAGAATTAGTAGTCCGATTGAATTTCGTAAGTTTACTAAATGGTTAGGAAAAATAAATAATAAGAAATTAAGAACAAAATAATATGTGATTGGACCTTCCAAAAAAATAATTTTAATGTGGTCGATTTTCCCTTTCTATAATTAGTTTTGCTAATGCTCTAGCTAACTATTCATCCTTTTCAAGTGTAATTTCGGTATTACTCGGGTGTGTTCCACTGATAGTACTTCATCGTCTTTGATAGTAATTGATTTTACGTATCACCTTTCACTTCCATTCATCCATCAAAATTGAAAGAAGTGTCATGATCCCAACATGTAATTAGTAGTTTTATTGTTTACTATATTAGGGCCTTAATGTTTGCTTAAATTCTAGCTCCACCCAAAAATTGCATTATTAAGAAGTATACTAACTAGGAATCTATACATGATTATAAGGAAAATTAAAGACNGATATTGAAAAGACTAGTCTCACTTTTCAATATCTATTTGAATTCGTTGTTTTGAAATGTGTTCTTGTGTTATTGGACAAGTTATGAAGTTGAGAATTTTACAAGAAGTTGTGCAAAGACTAAGATTTTATTTCCAAATTTTATATATATATATATATATATATATATATATATATATATATATATATATATATATATATATATA